AATAATGTATTGAGTGTAAATTATAATTTTAATTCAAATGATTAAATAGATGCCACCTTATTGGGACAATAAAGACCTCCCTACACCTACCCTAACCCTACCCGATACTTTATTTTCAACATTTTGATTATTTCCTTCATTTTTATTGAAAATAAATGCCTTTCCGATGCGATATAAGATTTGAAACGGGAGAAAAATAGTTCTGCAAAAGGCGGGTTCGAACTCGGGTCGATCACGTCAAAAAGTGTAAAAAGTGCCTTACCATCTACGCCACTGAAACTGATATTTGACGAGCGTCTTTTTTCAGTGTTGACTATCCCAATCAGACGTTGGTGGGCGGAGTTAGTGTAAATAGCCTCTGCCAACAAGGCGGGCTATTTGCACTTAGTGTAAATAGACACTCTGTTTTTGAAACTGTCTTTTGAACAACTAAAGCAGATTTAATTTAGACTACAATTAGGCTAAATTTGACAATTTTAACACAATGTGTAATAGACTAAATTTGTATTTCATGTTGACTTCCACACCATGGCAAGCACTTACCTGCATGTTTAGGAACTTCCTTCAGGATAAAGCCATAGCCATCTGCTCTCTTGGTCATGTCTGCAATGCGTGGCTTATGCGGGAGGTGCTTGACAGTGGCATGAGCCGTGCTTGGTCGAATGCCTTTGCCTTTGAAGAATTTGTCAGCGTCCTCATCCACCAACAGAAGCATCACTTTGTCCCCGGCTGCTTTCACCTACAATAACAACAGGACTACATTATTATAATATTTTTTCTCAAACACTGATAGGGTAAAACAGTAGAATCAAGGTCTTCAGCAGCATCCATTCAGTTTGCACTCAAAAGTTATTGATATTTTGAAGAATCTTGGTAACCCAAAAATTCTGGGTCCCATTGACTTCCACTGCATGGACAAAAAACACAGAAGTCAATGGGAGCAGGAACTGTTTGATTACCAACATTATTCAAAATATCTTCTTTTGTGTTCCACAAAATAAAGAAAGTCATACAAGTTTGGAATGACATGAGCATGAGAGAAAGATGACTGAATTTTCATTTTTGAGTGGACTATGCCTTTAAAGCTTCTCTAAAATGGTTACTGCATTATACAATTGGTGATAAAGAGGTAATGTTAGACATGAGTTATTGCAGCTAGGATTAAAGCATAATTTTAATTTACCTTTTTCACAATCTGATCATGTGAGAGACTCTCAACATTCTCACTGTTTATCTCCACTATACGATCATCAAGCTTCACACCGGCCTGATCAGCTACTCCTCCAGACATCACTTCTGTCATGAATATGTCCTTAGTACCTGCGAGAAAACAGGTTTAGATCAAAAAACTCTGTTAGTACTTCATCTCACGTGTCATCTGAAATAATTCCAACAATGATCAACATATTGGTTGATTTATCCAAAACAGACCTTAGAAATTAGTTAACGTTTGACTTTCTCAGTCTTGGATGACCATTCGCTGATTGTCGACAGCACTGGAAAAGACGTTCTTGAGCTGGCAAGCTCTAATCCCTTTAGCTGACCATGAGAATTTTTGAAAATGAACTAATGACAGGATTTACCGAAGTTCGGCAGATCAGAGGCAAATCTTTAAAATATATTCAAATTGACTAATTTAACTAGATTTACTGCTTTGTTTTCTGTATTATAGCTGTGAAACAATCTGCACTTACTATACTCTTATTTTTTATTTATTTTTATTGGCATTTATGATTCCATTAAGAGTCTTTGTAACATCCATGGACAATGTTCTATTGCACAGAATGTTCTTTATAATGAAAAAGAGCTCTTCAGATTATTAAACTGTTCTTCAAACTAAGAAAAAAAATCTTTTGAGAAGGTTCTTTGGGGAACCTAAAATGGTTCTTTTATAGCAAAAACCCTCTTTTGGAACCTTATATATTCTCACAATATATAGCAGAGTTATAATGACAAAATATTGTGAGTTAAATCGCAGGCGTTAGTAATCAATGAAAGCAGACTGGTGCAGATTAGACACAGAGGTGAACATGATTATGTAATCTTACGTTCTTCAAATGGAGTGATAACTGGGGTAATATAGAATTATCAAAGACCATATAATCACCGCCCTGTGTTAGGGTGCACCTGCTGAACTACATCACTGAAGGCTTAAAGTCAACGTAAAATGACATTTAAAAAATAATTTACTTATATTTCTGGGTATTCAAAAATACATAAGATAAAAAAAACCTTTCAGAGGCAGAGCAAGCATATATATATATTTAATAATAATAAATGAAATCATATTAAAATATTAGAGCAAAGAATATTGTATTAAAATAATGTACTATTTGCAATAAACATTTGATCTTTTTTTATGAATAATATGCCCTAATTAATCATGCACAATAAGACCTAGAATGTGCATTAACAAATGTAGTACATTGTGATTTCATGTTAAATTTAAATAGAAGCAGAGCAAATAAATAAATACTTAAGAGATTGAGCGCTCTGATTCTACAACTATTCATTTTTAAAGTGCCTGAATGTGTTTGTCATGTGTAATTACAGATGACAATCAATCAATCAATCAATCAAGTTTATTGTGTTTTAGAGTGAGTTTTAGAGTGCGTGCATGCTCTGACTTCACAATTGTTAACAAAGTTGTATGTGTTCAGTGAAGTATTTTTTTCTAATGTGTACCTTGTACAGTACCTTGTCTCAGTAATTACGAATGCCGATCATGAAGTCTTTACAAAACAATAGACACAATTGTGAGGAACCATCATCAATGCTTTTAAGGCTTTAGAAAGATTGCCTATAGCCTTGGTTCATTTTGATAAATGTTTTACCAGGAGAAAAAGCGCAAGCATCTAGCTGTAGGTTCAAGCTCAACAGATGCCATATCAATTACACAATACCTCACACATCAGCTGAGAGCTGAAGTACACTTGTCACACTTGAGTGCTCCATGAACTGCTCTATGAGCTGCTAATGCTTTCACATCATCACATTATGCCAAAAACCAACTCCTTGCTGCCGTTTAATAATTAATGCAACTTGCGTCAAGTTTCCCATCTGTACAAATAATATGAAAGCAAGAATTTCACTTAAGCCATCAAACTGCATTATAAAATTTCTCAACATGATTCCCAGGGTATCATTGCTTAAATTGAGGTGGTCTGGATCAACATTTCAATTCTATTCTATTCTATTCTAAAAAATCTATTCAAATGACATCACTCTGAATACATTTTTCAAATAGTAAGGTACACATCAAAGCACATCTTTCTTTCTCAAAGCACATGATATTTCTAAAGGTACATCTATGTTGTGTCACTCACCAGCTGCAGTCTCCTCAGTGTCCCGGTGTAAAGGAGGTGGCTGCCTGCTTCTGCTCAGGTGTTATCTAGCGCTGCGTAAGTGTGTGTGAAGGACTTTGACAGGCCAAAGGTTGATCTAAAAGGTGAGTTATTTAACCATGTCCCGTGGCTGGAGGCTTATTCTCTGTTGCTATGAGTGACCATATTCTACCCTAAAGAAATTCAAACCAAAAAAATCATGTTTTTAATAAGACATCTTCATTTGCAAATCTGAAGTATGCGCGGATATTTTTATTCACTCTATTTACGTGGTTTACTGGGCTGTAAGAGTGTGTTCCCTTTAAGCACTACAGCATGCCATTTGTGATAGTTGGATGGCTCTAGATTTTAATGTAATCTAGTCCACAATATTAAAATCCAAGCCAAGTAACCAGACTGCAGAACACCTTGAAGCATTAAAACCACCTCAATTTTAGTCTGTGAGAGATTTGTTTTATGGTATAAATGAATTTAAATAAAAAATACTGTATATACATTTTGAAAATAAGCTTTTTTTTTTTTGTTACATATATTTGTATGTTTTTTTGAGCAATGTCTTTGCATTTATTTGATCAAAATACAGTAAAGCAGTAATATTGCGAAAGATTACAATTTAAAATAATTGTTTTCAGTTTTCAAATATTTAATGTAGTTTATTCCTGTGATGGCAAACTTGAATTTCAGCATAATTTCTCCAGTCGTTAGTGTCACATGATCCTTCAGAAATCATTCTAATATACTGATTTGTTACTCAAGAAACATCTCTTTTTATTATTAATGTTAACAGTTTTTGATGCTTAATATTTTGTGGAAACCATGATGCACTACTATTCAAAAGCTTTAGGCAATCAATCAATCAATCAATCAATCAATCAATCAATAATGTATTTCAAATGAATGCTGTTCTTTTCAGCTTCATCACAGAATCCTGAAAAAAATGTATCATGGTTTCCACAAAAATATTAGACAGTGACAACTATTTTACTATTTTCAACATTTATAAAAATAAGAACCAACTGAGCATCAATATAATATACTGATAATAACAGAGCATCAAATCAGCATATTACAGTTTCTGAAGGATCATGTGACACTGAAGACTGGAGTAATGATGCTGAAATTTTTAAGATTTAGCTTTGCATTACAGGGATAAATTACATTAAAAGTTTGAAAATGTAAAACAACTATTAAAAATTGTAATAATAATTCACAATTTTACTGTTTTTGCTGTAATTTAGATCAAATAAATGCAGTTTTAGTTAGCTAACGACACTTTGTTAAAAAAAAATATACAGTTGTGCTCATAAGATTGCATACCCCTTGCAGAATATGTAAATATGTTAATAATTGTAAATAAATAAGAGGGATCATGAAAATTGCATGTTATTTTTATTTAGTACTGTCCTGAATAAGCTATTTCACATAACATATGTTATATATACTCCACAAGACAAAATAATAACTGAATTCATAAATAAATGACGTCAAAAGTTGACATACCTTGAATCTTAATAATGTTTTCCTGGATGATCCATGACTGTTTTTCTGTGTTGTGATAGTTGTCATTGAGTCCCTTGTTGGTCCTGAGCAGTTCAACTGTCTGCTGTTCTTCAGAAAAATCCTCCAGCTCCTGCACATTCTTTGGTTTTCCAGCATCTTCTGCATATTTGAACCCTTTCCAACAGTGACTGAATGATTTTGGGATCCATCTTTTCACATGGAGGACAATTGAGGGACTCGTACACAGCTATTACAAAAGGTCAAAACATTTACTGATGCTCAAGATGGCAACACAATGCATTAAGAGCCAGAGTAAACTTTTGAACAGGATGATGATGTGTACATTTTTAAAATTTTGTTTAAAGATCTTTTTTTTTTTTTTTCGTTTGGAACTGCGCTTAAGAAGCTACATAAATACTTAAATGTTTCCCAGAAGACAAAATAAGTACAATTTACCCTGATCATCCAATTCAAAAAGTTTACACCACCCAGCTCTTAATGCATTGTGCTGCCTTCTTGAGCATCAGTAAATGTTTTCACCTTTTGTAAT